TGAAGTGAACCACGTAACTCCTAGCCAGAAATACGACCCCCCTCCCAACAACGACCAAATACGACCCCCCCCCTCCAAAACGTCCGCAAAGCGAGCTATAAAAATAAATTTTTCCCAGCCCAAATACGACCCCCCCCCCATAGGGAGTCCTCATCGGACGCTGTGACGCTGTGCCCTGGAAAGAAGCCGAACAAGCAATCAAATGCCTTTGAAACAGGAACTAGCATGATCTGGATTGAATCGCTCCGAAATTGATAAAAGCAGGTTGGAGACGGATGGCAGATCTGGTGACGAGGCTGGTATATAGCTGCTGGAGCCGTGGAGAAGTTTCTGAGGACTGGAGAAGGGGAGTCATAGTCATATAATACTACCTAGAACGCGGATGTAGGAGCTGGAGGGGATCTCGCCTGGGAAGGTATTTTGCATAGTAGTGCAGCGGTCGCTGCACTACTATGCAAAATACCTAGTAAATACCTAGATACCTTTAGGCACAGATGAGGGACTGAGGGCAGCGACCGCTGCACTACTATGCAAAACATCTAGTAAATACCTAGATACCTTTAGGCACAGATGAGGGACTGAGGAAAGAGAAGCCTGATTCAGGACTGGAATATCGTGCTGCAAACAACTTTTCACTCTTCGCAACATAATCAAACAGTATTGGAATACCGCCATCTCTCTTCATCAAAATTGTGGACTTCAGAAAGGCATTTGATAGTATACATAGCGAACCGCTTTAGGCAATCCTTGAGATTTACGACGCATCCTTACCTCTTCAAGTGATTGTGTACCAATTCTCCGCGCTAGAACCAATTTGGCTGTACACCATATTTCGCAATTGCCGCTGGAGTACGACAACGATGCATTTTGTCTCCTTTGCTTGATGTCTGCCTCCACTTTACTATGAGGAGAGCGATGAAGTACGCAGGAGCAAGTCGATCTCTCTAAAAGCCTCACATATCTGGATTCACGACAGTGCAGTAATTGCGGAAGATGGGATGGGCTTCAACAGAGCTCCACGAGCCTCAGTAGGGAAGCAAACATGGTCGGGCTTGCGAATCAAAGCGGAGAAGTTGAAGGTCGTGAAAGTGGAACACTTCAGGGGTTGGACATAACTATTGATAATACAGAACTAGAGAGTGTGACAAGTTTACTTATCTCGGGAGTGTGATCACGCACGACGGTGATGCTGAGACGGATGTTCGTAGCCAGATTGCAAAAGCGTTAGCCTGTTCAGACAACGGCAGCCTAGACGGGCGAATCTTCTATCTCAGAGCATTGAGATAAAGCTGATTTTTCCATCGTGATTCCCATAGCACTTTATGCAAGCAAAACGTGGAAAACCTTCTGCCAAGCTGCGTAAAAGAATGAATGCCACCCACCAGCGATGTCTGCGTCGCACCACGAAGATACGATACAGAGACCACGTCACAAACGAATAAGTTTTACGACGGTGGTGTACACAGCCTTCACGTGATTGTGGAGCGGCGCAGGCTTCGACTGGCTGACCACATATTATTCACGTCGCAATATCGAATTTCATTAGCGTCCAAGTTCTGGATTCTTCCAGGAGCCAAGCGAGTTCGAGTCGGTCCCAGAAACACCTTGAGACGAAACGGGAGGAACTATTTCTACAGCATAGAGACGTATTTCTCGTTATCAACTCAGAGATCTATAGGAAAGAGAGGAGAAAAAGATCTTTTTCATGTTATTGCGCCATCTTACACCACAATAATTTTTTGTGCACACTAACATCATCTGGATTTTGGTGAGAATATGAGCGCAATTGGAAGAATTCGTTTACTTGTTGTACCGAAGCCCATAGAGTAAAATAAGGGCAGTTATACTGCTCACTTTCTTTTTACAGCATCTGACATTCTGACGAAAAGTAGGAATGTTTCAAATTCAATATTATGATCATTATTATTATTCAATTTATAATTGTTGAATTTAGTGTGTTTCAGTTTGATTCTAACTTGCTTTGGATTTTTAACTTCTTGAGGAACCACATTCGCACTGGATGCCAATAAATAAATAAGTGAAGAATATGAATAAATAAATCTGGAAAGGGTATAAACCAGATGTGATTTCGCATATAGTCCATGAAAGACATGTTTGTCTGTGGATCCTTCACGCCGAAGAAATCGAATTCCCCTAAACCGAAAATGCAGTAATGCGATAAACGCTATATGTTCTTAGGCAGGGCGGAGAACGCGAAAACATCGTATAAAAGGGCCCGCTACGCCGCGTCCGAGTGTTTGATGGAAGGCAAGCAGCAGGCGACGTCAAGCACTGGGAAATCTGAGGCACTCTCTCTCAGGAGAGTTGCTTTCTTTGGTGTGGCCCTTTCCACCGCGGCCACACTCATCTGCGTGATCTCCGTGCCAATGCTCTACAACTACATGCAGCATATGCAATCGGTGATGCAAAACGAGGTTGATTTCTGCAAATCCCGTTCTGGAAATATTTGGAGAGAAGTTACCCGTACTCAGGTGAATTTTGGCACTTTCTCTAGATTCGCTATCTAACCTCAGTTAACGTTAATAATTCCTTGAATTTAGGCCCTCGCTGGATCCACAAGGAAAGCTCGTCAGGCTGGTGGTGGATGCTGCGGATGTGGAGTTTCTCCTGCTGGACCACCGGACCACCTGGACCAGACGGAGAACCTGGAGCCGGTCGCCTGGCCAGCCCTGGTAGAGATGGACCCGATGGCCCACCAGCAACACCACCTCCCAACCCTCCTGCTCCATGCTTCAACTGCCCTGCTGGTCCTCCAGGTTTTTTTCCCAACAGGAAACCGGAGGCAAGGCGCAACCAGGAAGACCCAGCTACAAGAGATGGCGCAGAACCAGGATGATCCGGCCAGCAGGAGGTCGCGGACCCCAGGACCCACCGGACCACCGGAAACCCTGGTCAGCCCTGGAACCCTAGGAGCCCAGAGCCCAGTACAAAAACTCACCACAGTTCCCGATAACAGAGGACACCTGGACCGGCCTGGACCTCCTGGGCCTCCTGGACCCGATGGTCAGCCAGGAGCACCTGGAAACCCTGGACAAGATGGTGCACCAGGACAGCCAGGAGACAATGGACAGCCTGGTGGTCCAGGACAGCCAGGAAATGACGGAGCTGATGGAGAAGACGGTGAGGGCGGAGCTCCAGGAGGCTGCGACCACTGCCCACCTCCTCGTACTGCCCCAGGATATTGAGTACTTTTTGCTCAATAGTCTACTGAACAACTTCAGTGTACATTTTGTCATAATAAAAAGCAGCTTTCATCAATTAATCGTGTATCGGTGTTTCTCAGAAAACCTTGTCTTAATGACAAACATTCATCTACACATACATACATAATATGTAAAGAAGTACACACAACAGCCAAAAAAATTAGAACAAGCTGGGAAATGGTTTTCCAACCATTTTGAGCTGTTGATTCCTTTTCAACCAATTCCCTTTCCATTAAATCCCTACCCGAACAATGTTTAATACTGAAATGCGGTAATATGATGGTATGATTAATTGGATTGGTAGGTGGTAATTGGCCGCCAGGAGAGGGGGGTCGTATTTCGGCTGGGAAAAATTTATTTTGGTAGTTAATTTCCACGCCCCTTCACGGCAAGTTGTAACAGGTGAGGGGTACTGCTCATTGTTGGGAGGGGGGGGGGGTCGTATTCACTTTTCTGTCTTCTAAGAGGTGAGAGTGGTGGTTAAGTTTTCGTGTTTTTCCTGTTTCATGCGTACCATATTCCCCTCCCCCCCCCGCCCCGACTCGCAGCAGATTTGGGGAAAACTAAGGGAACCTTTTCGGGAAACTGGAAATAAAAGACAGGAAGTTGGGGAAAATCTGGAATTTTGCAGAGGGGGGGGGGCGTATTGTCTTGCGACTTCTCCTGTTTCACGCTATTTACCCTCCCCCCCCCCGCTCGACACGGCTCGATCTAGATGGATCACGACGGTGAATTTCATCCCTCAGTTTTTTAGAGCAGTCGCTGTTTCTTATCGTTTTTTTGGCGTGTTATTCAGATCGTGCGCGGTGACTTGCTAAACGGTTATGATTTGTCTCGCTTAGCTCACCCAAGAAGTAGGCAGGCTTGTCTGACAGTTGCATTCTTACGTTTCTTTTGGCATCGTTATTGCGCTCCATAGAGAGTACTCCTTTCTCTCAAGGACTTCAAATTTTCTCTCAAGGATCGTAAACACAGACGGACCGGACGCAAGTGTGGTAGCAATTCACCATACCACGATATTTTTCATAATTACGGCTCTACAACGGCTTCAATTAAATAATCTTTTTTGGAGTGATTTTCCAAGAATATGATCGTAGATAGCGTTGTTCCCCGTGCAGTTCAAGAAATACTATTAGAATGACGCGATTTCACTTTTTCCATGTTTTTTTTTGGTTACTGTATATGCGTATGCAGAGCACTGTTCCATCTGACAACTCTGAACCATATACAAGGCTAATGACGATTCTATCGTCGGCAAGCCAAGCGACGCCGCACACGCCGCGCACGGCACGCCGCAACGCGGCAATCCCGGAGTGGCATTACCGTACTCCCGAGTTGTCATCGGAGCAAGGGATTAGCGTTGTTTCACGGCGTCCTTTAGCAACGCTTCGATGCTCATGCGATCACTTTCTCGATCACTGGTTTCAAAATGGCTATTGCTTTCAGCATTTTGCAGATGTTTAATTCTCTCGTCAGAGTAACTACAATGAGTTCCGGGTTTGCAGCTTATTTTACTGTTTTTGTTCAGAACGATGAAATATTCCATAATGAGAACTCAATTAGGTCTCGTGCCTGTATGTAATCTTGAAGTTTTTCTTTTTTTTCGTAGCGCATCTGTCTTCGCCGGACTAGTCTCTCGCCTATTGTAAAGTGAATCCCCCATAGTGTTGATTCCGGCGAGTGATGACTCATCGGCTCTTCACTAATAGGCATACTTGAAGCGCCATTCAGCGGCCAAATGGAAATAAAACAAACAAGATACACCGGGAATTTGCTAAGAAACCCCACAGAAGCTGAAAACAAGTGTTTGATTTGTCGTAGTCAACAATAACAGTAAACAACAAGCAGGCAGCAATCTTTTGCAGTAGAACCTTCCAGCCTACAATTTTTTCCTCACACTTTTCAGCGTTGACTATTTTAACAATTGAATATAGCTAAGATGGTGTTATATCCTCGTCCTAAATATAAAATTACTTCTATTTTGCCGAGGAGGAAGCAGAAGAGTCGATGAGTCATCACTCGCCGCGAGCCGCGTGGTCCCCCCCCCCAAATACGTTAGCACCATTGATTCTGACCTGTGTTTATCCCAGTTTTCATTCCATAGACCGCTTCGGTTGTTTTCTTTTCTTCTCTTTCACTTTCTAGTATAACACACATGAAGTGATTTAGGCTCGTGAACATTCTCTCAAATTTCTGATAAATCCACACCGTGCTGTGCACTTGCAGATTTTCATTCTTTCTTTTCCAGTTTCAGAGTTTCATTCTTGGATCGCGAGACCTCACTTTTTCGCATTTCCAAAACGACACCCTTTTCGTTAGTTATTAGTTGGTGGTGGATCTGAACACTTTCTTCGAGGGAAAAGGTCTATTAGATAATTCTACTCTGTGGCTTCAACTTGTCGAATCCTCGGTTTCGATAGGGCAAACGTTTGAAAACCAAGGTTGGTTTTGCACTTAAGCTACCTTCAGTTACCACGTTCCATGTGCTTAACATCATAATGTGAATTTTCAGGCAATGCGGTCTCTTCCTGAAAAGAATTAGAAGCTTGTCTCTGGACGAAGTGATGATGTTTATGCGTGATTAGTTTATGAAAAAGAATGACTCTGACAAGGTTCTGTAGGCTCCCTAGTCCTTCGTCCTGGATTTTTCGAT